TAATCCGAGGTGGTATTTGGAATATTTTCGGTATATAGCGATTTTGAAGAAGGGTGGTATTTTTGAAATAGTCGTTTTGTATAATTGTTGTATAAGATGGCGTCCAGGAAACTGTTGTTCATAGGTTGTTTGGAAATATTTGATGGTGTATGAAAAGTTGAAGCTTTGGAAAGGTGATAGAACACGAAGATTGTTTGTCTGTACTCGAACTGTTTTCGAAAGTTTCGAATACATCCGTAAATGGTAAATATGATCGCAGAATGTGATCAACAGGAGTAGTGGAAGATTTTCTAGTTGTTTTGCGTCGTGTAAAAGTCAAGTGTTGAGAGGTTAGGAAATATAGAGTCTTGGTTTTCCAGTAGATTTTTTTTACTTTTCCTGAGATCGTTCTGGTGTTCGTGGAGTTATGGGATTTGGTTATTTGGAAGTGATAAACTATAAAAATGTAAGGTGGAAAATTTGTTTGAGTTTTTGATGTAGCTTATTCTGTTTTATTTATGTTTCATTTTGCTTGTTGAGTGTCTCTAGGGATGATTGCGGTAAAATGGTATAAACAGTCCTGGTCGCTGTGTCTTTTAGCTCAAAGAAGAATTTTTCGCAGGTTTGCCATGTTTTTGTTTGTACGGTGATCAATACGTGGCTTTTTAAAAGTTGTTCATTGTACCTCAATAAATTGTGTATACATTAGATACCCTGGAAAGTAGTGGACTTTTATGGAATTGACGAGAAAACAGCCCAGTGCAGCGTTTCCTGCGGGCAATGGTGGGAAACGATCGGATCTTAGGTACAGTATTGCGCAGGACATTGAGGGATTCTGCTTGCCGTTTCCGAGCGTTTTCTGCGTGAAAGCGGCGGAAGTGATGGGAGCTTGCTGGAAAAAACCGGCGGTATCCTGTTTAGGAATACTTTGGCCGTATTCTCTTGATTTTTGGAGTTTTCTGTGTTGTTTGTAGATAATATCGCATTACATCCGGCCGTTTCCGCTGTGATTCCGGCTAGATATGATATATTCATGAACGGTTCCCAACAGGATGCGATAACTTTCCTTAAGAAGTCCTGCGCGGATAAGGTAGTTTTCCACGATGATTCCGGACACTGGATTGCCACGGAAGTGGAAGGATTCGGTACGATGCTTTCTGACTCGAAATACTGCTTCCATTTTCCGTATGTTTTCCAGGCGGTTGCGGGGGGAAATACACTAGAACCTGTCTAAATTGGCGGGAAATAGCTCTAGTTTCTGTTGGTTCTGGGCAGATCCAGAGGTCAGAATCATCGTCCTGGAGAGTATCCTTCAGTAAATTATATTAGACTTTGGGAGATTTCTGCGAATTTGAGTAAATTCTAATGGACTTCCTTAGAAACCAAAGGATCCATCAGAATCCGCTTTTCCCCTTTGCGTATATTATAGCTTTTTCTAATATGATTTCTCCAGTTTTTTAATCAATTTTCTAAGTGCCGAGAAAATGGATTTTTATTAGACAAGGGAAAACAAAGAAAGTGATTTTTTTCATAGAAATTGCCCTTAAGTCGACTTAGAGTTTCTACTAGAATATCTATAACTGTTGAATGATTAAATTTAAACCACTAATATTTTCGTAATTTTGTAGATCTTCGATTAACAGTTTGAATGCACATCTGATAATTGATCTCTGTAAACAATTCACGAAGTAGGTTTGTTTTCAAAAAGGTCGGCTTGATATCTTAAAAAAATCTGGTCAGTATGCTTTGTAGTATACGATTTTATGCATTTTCATCTCCTAAATGAACTGTGCGCTGATTTTCAATTATGCGCCCCATCTTTGCCAGGTTTTGTTGGAATCCAATAAAATCCTTCTCCAATTAGATGTCCATTGGATTGCGATGCAGTTTTCTACTCAATTTGAGATTGGATTCAGTCAGAATCTTAGTTATTCAAGTACGCTATCCGATGGAATTTAGAGAAATCTCATCATCGAAAATTTCATCCTGGGATAAGCATACTTTAAGGTCAGGAAAGCAAATATTCAAAAATCGAGGAAGACCTTAATAATGGCCAACATTCCCAATTTGAAATCCATCTGCAAGGTATTCTGTGAACGAAATGTGTACAAGATCAAAGACTTCCTCTTGCTATATAGCAATTGTCTTACTTTATTAGCTTTATTACTTTTGAAGACAGAAAGTTGGGGAATGGTTCAGCAATCTAAAAGGACTACCATGGATAAAGACATTTTTCTGGCTTCACATAATTTTTCCATTAAAATTTTATTTAATCACAACCCGAGACGATACGATACGTAGTAGAAACCTTAGTACAGTCTCGTTGCGTTGGTGTCAGTACTTTGCCAAGTCAGTTTTGTTGATTCTAATCATGATATTCGTAATCAGCAAGTTTAGTTCTATGTCTCTATCTTTATTTAGAAAAGAACAAAAGAAAATTATTTTCGCATCTCTGAAATGTTTCTCAGTCTTAGATATTTCATTGTCAGTTGTTTAAACTTGATTCATAGACAATGATCAAAGACCATCGCTCATTCGACTATAATGGAAAAATCTAAACTATTAGAGAGGCCGGAAAACAAGCTTATATATTCTCGTTCCTTGCTGAAGCGCAGATGATTATCCAGAAAGTGCCATAACGCTTTTTGTGGCATCGGCAAGAGAATCATGCCAAACGTTAGTCTAAATAAAATAACTACATAATTCACCTCAGCGGAACACTGTTAATATATCATTCAAGAATGTTACCAGATTAGCATCATATAATATCAACATTAACTCACAATCAATATATTGCAGTGTTGTCTGTTCATCATTACGTTGAAGATATTGTTCATAGCCATAGAATTCTTGAAGTTCGTCGAGAAAAATTCGTTCTGACTCGCCATCGAATGCGGCATGGTGAAAATTGAAAATGATCCAGTCTCCTGTTGAAATGAGATCGTCATCATGACTAATGATCGCTGAGCGGTGGCGCACAATATGGCAGCGACAAACCTCACCTTGAGTGAGATCGAAATGCGTTTGATTCGTCATCTCTTCAATAAAAATTGTTTGAAGCCAACTCTTATCTTTTTCATCATCAATAAAGCTTGTACACAAGGCGAACCAGTCTCGTTCATTGTTTGAATGAATATGTTGTGTCAGGTTGCCACTAACGAGATCAAATTGAACAGATGTGCGTAGAATGGCATGCTTTCGAGTAATATGTTGAAGAGCCCGACAAAGACGTTTTATCGATAGAGAACCTTCTGACAAACGATACAACAGCGGAATATTGTATACAGCAACATGCTTATCAGTGAGGAGGCGCATGCGAATTTGTTCATCAAGAACAATCCGCGATTGAGAAAATGAGGTTTCAGCTAAAAAGCAAAACAAATACAAGACTGTTACTCGACTTGCACGTAGTGCGTCAATCTACCTTGATCAATCTTTAAGCAGGGCCATGCTTGATAACGATCTCTAACTTGTGAGACAACAGCTTCGGACAGAAGTTGAGCATGTTCGAAAATTGTCGGGTACTGAAAGCATGAGGCTATGTCTGGAACACGACCAAATTCAATTTGATAATGATTATACAATTTCATGAACAAGAGTGACGAGCCATGAAGAGCAAAGAAGGACCTTTTGATCGGAATATGCTCCATAAGAAGAACTTGACACCATAACTGATGCACGCATTTTTCCATGTCATTGAGTGGCATAATGTGATCATCGAATTTTTCCGTAGCAATGGCGAAGTCAGGAGAAGGCAAGGCTTTGCGATCAATTTTGCCATTTACTGTCAGTGGAAACCGTTCCAAAATGATGAACATCGATGGGACTATATAGAAGGGTAAAAGAGAGCGACAGCGATCTCGCAAATCATCTTCTTTGATTTTAACTAACGGTGCTTCGACATAGCCGACAAGATGTTCTTCTTCATAGTAAGTGAATTTTATGACAATACAACCTGTGATGAGCGTTGATCCCCTCATAACAGTCTCCTCAATTTCACACAGTTCGATGCGTTGACCTCTAAGTTTCACTTGATAGTCTCGGCGACCGATAAAAATGAGCTCGCCTGACGTGACATCCAAACGAGCCAAGTCACCAGTTGCATAACATTGTTCACCATCAATATCGATCAAGGATTGTGCCGTTAAATCAGCTCGTCCATAGTAGCCCGCAAAGACACCAACGCCTATATTTATTACACTAGAACTGATCTTTTATTCATAATAAAAAGCCGATGGCTCACCTCCAATAATAATCTCACCCAGTTGACCAGGTACTACTGGCTGTCGGTATTCATCAAGAAGATAAATGCAATAACCAATTAGTGGATAACCAATGGGCAATGATACAGTTGTGGAGAGTTCTTCGCGACGAACTTCATGGCAAGTAGCCACCACTGTGATTTCAGCAGGTCCATAGAGATTGAAAAAGCGACTTTGTTCGTCAACAAATGGTAAAAGCTGAATAATGGTCGAACTGAGCAGTGTTTCACCTTAACAAAATCATGTATTCTAAGAATCTTATAAAGTCAATGTTATAGTAAAAATTCGATTTTATTGATTATTTTATTGTTTGACATAATATTTGTTCATCTTCAGTTATTCCTCATGTGTAATTTAGACTTTCTCTCACATGATGATTGAATTATGCAGAAGAAAAGAAATAGTCAAAAGAAAAGATAGAAGAAAAATCCTAAATATAGAAAATATAAGAAAAAAGATGATCAGAAACTATGAACTATCCAATTCTTTCTTTCCCTTTCCTTTTCCTCTTCTTTTTTTCTTACCTCCAAGATACCAACAGCGTACTGATTTGACTCTTTGTTGAGCATGATGATTCTCATTAAGAAATTTGCCTAAAGCATTGAGCCATGATGGTACAGGTCCAATATAAGTGACTTTCTTATCATAAATAGTTTTTGTTACGTAATCAAAATCGAAATGACCTCCATTTTTGAGTGCTACTAATTGAGCACCTCGAACTAGAGCACCATTGATTTCATCCAAATGAGAATCAAAAGAAGAACTTGTAAACTGAAGAACAATATCATTCGTTTGTATGACATGTGTTTCCATATAGGCCATGAAATTTCGATGACGAATTTGAACAGCTTTTGGAGTACCTGTCGATCCCGATGTGAACACAATATGGGAGATAGAATCAGGTGTTACATCAACTTTAGACAATTCTTCAATTTGAGCATCAGTCAAAAGATGATAGGATTCAATTACTTCAGAGATATCGAGAATGGGAACATTGAGTGAGCTTATGCATGAAAGTGACATCTGATTGACAAGTATGAGTTTAGTATCAACTTGATGAACAAGTAACTCAAGTCGATCAAGAGGATTACTTGGATTCAATGGAGCATAAACAGCACCTGACATCATAATACTCATTATACCAATAATCATTTCGATACTTCGATCGATATACTGACATACAATATCACCTGGATGTACTCCTTTATCATTGATTAGAACAAATGTTAACTGTCGTACTTGATTAAGTAATTGATTGTAAGTTAGAGATTGATCATCAAGTGTAATAGCCACCTTATTTGGATGGAGAATTGCCTGTTCGATGAATGCTTGATGAATGCAAGTTGTAACATTCGATGTTATCATATAGTTATTTAGTTTTCGTAACATGTCTCGCTCAGTGGGAAGAAGAATCGAAAGTTCATAGATTGGTTGATTTTGTTGATCGAAGGTCGAGCAGAATAGTTGTTGACAGAAACAATGAAAGCGATGAGCTAAAGTTTCTATACTCGTCTGATTGAAGAGGTCTGAATAGCCGTCGAACGTGCATATCAAGTTGCGTTCGTCTAAATCGTATTGAATAGTAACAGAAAAGTTGGTTGTGGTCTGCCTTTCATCAGGTTCAGTATTGATAGGATACAGCGCCGTCATTAGCGAATGTTTCTCACTAAATAAGACACCATTCTGCAATATTGGATTGAACTTCGCACAGATGGAGACGCTACGAAGTCCAAACGACAGTTCCAGAAAAACTGGGGCGTTTGATGTTGAATCATGATGTAAGGTGGGTGAGAGCTGGGCATGTTCATGATCTGTTGTGTGCATCAAGATTTTGCTGATGTTGCCTGTTAGTTGGGAGAAGGATGAGTGCGGATCAAGACGACAGGAAACCCTATGTAAAAATCCGAAAACATTTGTAGAGAAGATCTGAACGAAAGATTTGTGAGAATAATGTTGGAAATCATACATACCTATCAGAAAACATGTTGATGGCTTCGTCCAACTCAGGTCGACATTGGGCGCTTATATTTTGACAGATGCGCAAATCACGTTCCCCTCCCGTTAACTTGAACAAGAAGACTGTGTAGCATGTAAAAGCCACATATTCCGGTGTCTTGTTGCTTGTTGATGCAAGATTGAAAATAGCATTTGAGATCTCTGAGTTGAAGATGAACGTGATCGACCGAACGCTACGAGTTCGATTATCTTCAGATGTCATCTGTGGATCACGAGAGAACGGTAAAATTCGAGCTATGCCAGAAATATGAGAAGTTTCAAGCAATAATGGATCAACAATGGTATTTGTGACAAACAAATCCGAGAAACAACAGTTGATAGATATCGAAGAATGGCATAGATTGATTATCTGTAACAGAGAAATCAGACATTATGTGAGGAAAATTGCACTATGAATATCTTGCTGAAGTCTCTCATCATTTCTAAATTCAGATCTATACATATAGTGAAATGTGATGCAGTCTTCGATTCTCATGACCAAATTTCAATAAAGATACGCGATCCACGTTTCGTTGTACTTAATCCAGATTGCATCTTTGAGTTTGGTTCATACAGTCTCTCACAGACAAAAAAAGTGCCTTTTTTCATCTCACTTTTACATCATTTAATACGTTGTTTAAAAAAAAGGAAAGTATACCACAATATGCAGCGCGAAAAGCTCTACAATCTACAAAGAAAAGCTTATTCTAATGGTTTACTTTTTGTTTTCAAAACAAGCAAAAAAATTCTGTGCGACAAATTTTCAACGCTGCGAAAGGATCATTTTTCTACACAAACGAGATAGTTTTTTTCTTATTTCAGTAAATTGTTCTATGTAAATTGTAGAGCTTTGCATGCTGCATCCTATGGTATATTTTATTCTTTTTTACAAAAACATATTAGTTGATAAAAAGGCGAAATAAGGAAAAAGGAATTTCTCGTCCATAGAAAAAATTTAATGTTTCCGCAACGTCGAAAACTGATTGCACAGGATTTTGCTTTTTTTGCAAACAAAAAGTACACAATTAAAATAAGCTTTACTTTGTAAGTTGTAGTTCTTTTCACGCTGCATGTCGTGATATATTTTGATTTTTTTAAACAACATATTAAGTGATGCAAAAGTGAGTTGAAAAAAGATACTTTTTTTGTCCGTGAGAGAGTTCTTTATGCCAATCAAACCCAAGCGTAGTCTTCTGGAGGATGTCGTTCTTTCAGCCAACGCCTTATTAAAGCTTTTCCCTATTCTAAAGGTACTCCACTCCTATCATTACGAAAGGTGAAGCTGGTTTATTGATATTTAATTCTAGATATTCGAAGAAACTTTATTCAGAAGCGCCTGTAGATAATGCCGTCCCTTCTCTAATTCTAATGATAAAACTATACTATACCAAAATCCATACGAACGCTCTCTTAAAAAAAAAGTGTCATATGGAACCATTTAGGGTTCTAGCGAAGATACCGAACCTTTTAAGGTTTGATTCGTTTATTAATAAATCATCAAAAGTTCTAGGTAGTTTAAAGAACTATGTCAGATCACAAATGGTTCCAGATGCTTAAAAGAGTTCCGTCTTGCATCATTTTCTTTTCATGCTGAACTTTTTTTACAAAGATGGTTCTAGCCCACGTTGCTTGATCTAAGGTTGATCATTTTTTAAATGTGACTTAACTAACGAAAAGTTGGGATCATTTTACTTGTCCAATAAGAATAAAAGGCAGGTGACATAAGCCACTAGAAGCGGCACTCTAATTAAAAAAAATCAAAGTTAAAGTAGTTGCGTCATTGAATGATGGCAAATTTCTAGACTTCGTCATTTCGATAAAGGAAGTCTATTTTTCAAAAATAACGATATTTTATATAGTTTGATCAAAGGTTTTCGGGGTCGAGGAATCCGAATCTGTAATCGGTTTTCAAAAATTGTGCACTTCATAATTTCGTTAAAGGAGGACGATTTTTCAAGAATAACGATATTTTATAAAGTTTCATCAAAGGTTTTTCGGGTCAAGTAATCTGAATCTTTAACCCGTTTCTGGAAATATTCACTTAATTATTTCTTTGGGAAACTATAAAGGACTTCGTGCTTCAAGACCCCGAAAATCTTTGCTCAAGCTCCATCAAACATCGTTATTTTTGAAAAATAGCCCTCCTTTAACGAAATTATGAAGTCTACAAAATTTCCATTATTTGATGACGTAACTACTTCAACTTTCATTTTCTTAATGTTTAAGCACCACCCCTAACACATACTCAATTCAAAGGTAAGTTTTGACTTATAAAATGATTGAATTTTTTCTTTATTTAGGTATATCCCAATAATCAATTAAATGGCAGTTTTCACTTATGAAATAAGTTAGTCTTTTATCCATTTAGATATACTTCTATCGTCAATTCCAACGTAAGTTTAATTTTATCAAATAAGTTAATACTTTTATCTATTTCCATATATATCCATACTGAATTCAAAGGTAAGTTTTGACTTATAAAATGATTGCATTTTTTTCTTATTTAACCCTTTGATTACCATAGTATCAAAAAAGCTGCACCTGTTTTATAATTATTTTTCACAGCCTAATTCATAAAAATTAGTATGTAATCTCTTGGGAGGAAGTCATAAGGAGTACTCTAGAGCCTTTTCGGAGTATCTATATTACGAGCATCGTCTTCATATCTTTCCTTTTCCTTTTTCTCCTTCCCTGGATGTTATATCTCTCAGAGAAAGCATATGAGACACCGCCTGTGATCAATCTTCATTTACAAAAATTCGTGTGCAGCCGGAGCAAACACTAGATTCTTTGCTAGTTTATTAGCACATATGTCTGTTGCTGGACCTAAACGAAGATGCGGATATTGCAGTACGAAAGCTCGTCTAGTATTTAGTAACATAAAATGCAGTTGTTGTGGTATTTCTTTTTGTGTAAAACAACATAAAAATTGTTTTTGGTTATTCCATAGAAACACTCTATAAGTTTTGCAATTAATAAACTTTAGTGATTAGAGTTTTCATTCAAGTATAACAAAGTTCAATATAACTTACATTGAGTAAATTACATGCGAGAACACATAAAGTATTTTTGACATATGTTCCTGTGTCTAAAGAAAGCTAATTTAACAGCTTACTCAAATTCAATGCAGCGAAAAATAATTTGGTAATCAAAGGGTTAAGATGTATTCCAATAATCAATTCCAAAGTAAGTTTAATCTAATAAAATAAGTTAATATTTTTATCTATTATTAAGATATATATTGATACTTAATGCAAAGCTAAGTTTTCACTTATACAATAATTGAACTTTTTCTTTAGGTACGTCCCAATAATCAATTAAATGGTAGTTTTCACTTATGAAATAAGTTATTCTTTTATCCATTTAGATATAACTCAATCATCAATTCAAAGGTAAGTTTAATATTACAACAGAAATTATTGTTTTTATCTAGTTAGGCATATGTGAATAGTCAATTCAATGGTAAATTCAATCTTACAATATGCATTAATTATTTTGTCTGTTTCAGATCGTCTGAACATCAAACATCAGCTATATGCCTCTGGTATCGATAGAGGAGGGAATGTGTACTCCTATTCTACTCGTGGCAAATCTGGGTAAATATAATAGATATAGATTTTAAGAGTTAAGGATTGAAATAAGATGTTAGATATAGAAATAAGAGGTTAAGAATAGGAATAAGGGGTTAATGATAGGGATAAGGGTTATGCATACAAATAAGGGGTTAGATATAGAAATAAGGATTAGATATAGAAATAAGGGGTTGAGGATAGGAATAAGCTGATTAGATATAGAATTAAGGACAGGAATAAGGGGGTTAGATATAGGATTAAGGATACAAATAAGGAATTAGATATAGAAATAAGGGGTTAAGGATAGGAATAAGTGATAAGAAGTAGGGATACGACGTTAAGGATAGAAATAAGGGCTAGATATAGAACTAATCAGCAGTACTAGACTAAGTGTGTTAAATGAACTGCTTTTTATCCGGCTAGAACCATTTTTGGAAGAAGAAAAAAAAGGTTCCAGATAGAACCAGATTATGCTAGAACCTTAAAAGGTTCAGAAAATGATACCCAAATCTAGAACCTTTTAAGCTTCAGTATGACACCTTTTTCTTTGTTACAGAGCGAAGACGATAACGGAGCGTAGAGGTATCTTCTGTCTGGTAGCAAATATTTGCTTTTTTTCTTTTCTCAGGGTGTACATGCCGATATCACGTCTTTTTCTTGTTTCTTTTTTCAATGGCTATAGAGACAAAATGGACACTCTCTTACGGACAAAAAAAGTA